TTATACTAATCTATATTGCTCATAAGTTTTCAATATTTTTATCAGGCCACAACTCTGAAGTGATAGCATTTGGGTCACAAAGTAAAATTTGTGCATATATATTACATATCATGTTGATAATTATGTATCATCATTTTAATTTTCTTTTTTAAATCTATTTTACATTAATTACAGTTTATTCATTTTGTATCTCAGCTGTAGCCCCCTCCTTTATTCCCAATCTGACCCTCGCTCCCTCACCTCTTCTCATGCCCCTCTCCAAGTCCTCCCCTTCCATCTGACACTAGCCTATCAGGTCTAATCAGGACTGGCTGCATTGTCTTCTTCTGTGGCCTGGTAAGGCTGATCCCCTTATGGGGAGGTGATCAAAGAGCCAGACACTGACTTCATCAATGTAGCCATTTTAAATAAACTTCTCTATGATCCACCTTGGCACTGAGTAGGTTTTATACACTGAAATTATCTGTCTCAGATTTCCCATTTTCATTTAAGGAATACAGACCCAAAATTAGCACATAATAAACCATACATTTAACTTTTTTCTTTTATTATTATTATTATTATTATTAATTACACTTTATTCATTTTGTATCCCGCCATAAGCCTCTCCCTTCTCCCCTCCCGATCCCACCCTACTTCCCCTTCCTTCCTTCATGCTCCTCCCCACATCCACTGATAGGGGAGGACCTCCTCTCCTTCCTTCTGATCTTAGTCTATCAGATCACATCAGGAATGTCTGGATTGTCTTCTTCTGTGGCCTGGTAAGGCTGCTCCCCCCTCGGGGGAAGGTGATCAAAGAGCAGGCCAATCAGATTATGTCAGGGGCAGTCCCTCTTCCCATCACTATGTGAGCCACTTGGACACTAAACTGCTGTGGGCTACATCTGTGCAGGGGTTCTAGGTTATCTCCATGAATAGTCCTTGTTTGGAGTATGAGTCTTTGGGAAGTTCCCTGTGTTCAAATTTTCTTGTTCTGTTGCTCTCCTTGTGGAGTTCCTGTCCTCTCCAGCTCTTGTTATTTCCCACTTCTTACATAAAATTCCATTCACTCTGTCCATCGGTTGTCCATCAGGCTCAGCATCTGTTTTGATAGTCTGCAGGGCACAGGCTTTCAGATGCCCTCTGTGGCAGGTTCCTAGGTTGTTTCCTGTTTTCTTCTTCTGACTTTCAGAGGCCCTCTGTAGCAGGTTCCTAGGTTGTTTCCTGTTTTCTTCTTCTTCTGATGTCCATCATCTTTGCCTTTCAGGATGGGGATTGAGTGTTTTAGTTAGGGTCCTCTCTTTTGCTTAGTTTGTTTAGATGTACCGATTTTAGTGGGTTTATCCTATGTTGTATGTTTATATGAGTGAGTATATACCGTGTGTGTCATTTTGATTCTGGGACAACTCACTCAGGATGATCCTTTCCAGGTCCCACCATTTACCTGCAATTTCATGATTTCCTTATTTTTCATTGCTGAGTAATACTTCATTGTATAGATGTATAGATTTCTGCATTCATTCTTCAGTTGAGGGGCATCTGGGCTGTTTCCAGCTTCTGGCTATTACAAATAAAACTGCTACAAACATGGTTGAGCAAATTTCCTTTTTGTGTACTTGAACCTCTTTTGGGTATATGCCTAGGAGTGGTATGGCTGGATCTTGAGGAAGCGCTATTCCTAGTTGTCTGAGAAAGCACCAGATTGATTTCCAGAGTGGTAGTACAATTTTCTTGATCGATTTGACTTACCAAAGCTGAATCAGGACCAAGTAAATCAACTAAATAGTCCTATATCCTCCAAAGAAATAGAAGCAGTCATCAAAAGTCTCCCATCCAAAAAAAACCCAGGTCCAGATTGCTTCAGTGCAGAATTCTACCAGACCTTCAAAGAAGAGCTAACACCAATTCTCTTCAAACTATTCCACAAAATAGTAACAGAAGGAACATTACCAAACTCATTCTATGAAGCCACAGTCACCTTGGTACCTAACCCTCACAAAGACTCAACAAAGAAAGAGAATTTCAGGCCAATCTCCCTTGTGAACATTGATGCAAAAATGCTTAACAAAATACTTGCAAACCGAATCCAAGAACACATCAAAGATATTATCCACTATGACCAAGTAGGCTTCATCCCAGGTATGCAGGGGTGGTTCAATATATGGAAATCCATCAATGTGAACCACCATATTAACAGACTGAAAGAAAAAAAAAAAAACACATGATAATCTCCCTAGATGCTGAAAAAGCATTTGACAAAATCCAACATCCATTCATGTTTAAAGTCTTGGAGAGATCAGGGATACAAGGCACATATCTAAACATAGTAAAGGCCGTATACAGCAAGCCTATAGCCAACATCAAACTAAACGGAGAGAAACTTAAAGCAATCCCACTGAAATCAGGGACAAGACAAGGCTGCCCACTCTCTCTATATCTCTTCAACATAGTGCTGGAAGTCCTTGCTAGAGCAATAAGACAGTTGAAGGAGATCAAGGGATACAGATTGGAAAGGAAGAAGTCAAATTATCACTATTTGTATATGATATGATAGTATACATGAGTGACCCCAAAACTCTACCAGGGAACTCCTACAGCTGATAAACACCTTCAGCAAAGTGGCTGGATACAAAACTCAAAAAAAATCAGTAGCCCTCTTGTATACAAAAGACAAAAGGGATGAGAAAGAAATTAGAAAAACAACACACTTTACAATAGCCACAAATGACATAAGGTACCTTGGTGTAACCCTAGCCAAGCAAATCAAAGACTTGTATGAAAAAAATTTCAAGTCTCTGAAGAAAGAATTAGAAGAAGATATGAGAGGATGGAAAGATCTCCCATGCTCATGGCTTGGCAGGATTAACATAGTAAAAATGGCCATCTTACCAAAAGCAATCTACAGATTTAATGCAATTCCCATCAAATTGCCAACACAATTCTTTACAGACCTGGAAAGAAAAATTCTCAACTTCATATGGAATAACAAGAAACCCAGAATTGCTAAAACAATCCTCTACAATAAAAGATCTTCTGGATGTATCTCTATCCCTGATTTCAAGCTGTATTATAGAGCAACAGTTATAAAAACTGCATGGTACTGGCATAGAAACAGAATGGTGGATCAATGGAACCAAACAGAAGACCCAGAAATAAACCCACACAATCATGGACAGCTGATTTTTGACAAAGATGCCAAAACCATACAATGGAAAAAAGATAGCATCTTCAACAAATGGTGCTGGTCTACCTGGATGTCTACATGTAGAAAAATGAAAATAGATCCATACTTATCACCCTGCACAAAACTGAAGTCCAAGTGGATCAAAGACCTCAACATAAAACCAGACACATTAAATCGGCTAGAAAAAAAAAAAAAAAAACGTGGGGAATACCCTAGAACTCATTGGTACAGGAGAGAACTTCCTGAACAGAACACCAACAGCACAGGCTCTGAGAGCAACAATCAATAAATGGGACCTCCTGAAACTGAAAAGCTTCTGTAAAGCAAAGGATACTGTCATCAAAACAAAGCGACTGCCTACAGATTGGGAAAGAATCTTCACCAACCCTTTATCTGACAGAGGACTAATATCCAGTATATATAAAGAACTTAAGAAGCTGAAAAGCAGCAAACTGAGTAATCCACTTAAAAAATGGGGAACAGACCTAAACAGAGAATTCTCTGTAGAGGAATATCGAATTGCAGAGAAGCATTTAAAGAAATGCTCAACCTCATTAGCCATTAGGGAAATGCAAATCAAAATAACCCTGAGATTTCACCTTACACCCATCAGAATGGCCAAGATGAAAAACTCAAGGGACAACACATGCTGGAGAGGTTGTGGAAAAAGGTGAACCTTCCTCCACTGCTGGTGGGAATGTAAACTTGTACAACCACTCTGGAAATCAATCTGGCGCTTTCTCAGACAACTAGGAATAGCGCTTCCTCAAGATCCAGCCATACCACTCCTAGGCATATATCCAAAAGAGGCTCAAGTACACAAAAAGGACATTTGCTCAACCTTGTTTGTAGCTGCTTTATTTGTAATAGGCAGAAGCTGGAAACAGCCCAGATGCCCCTCAACTAAAGAATGCATGCACAAATTGTGTTACATTTAACTTTTTATAGTATTTATATTTCCTTGACATTTCTATAACCTCTTTATCACCTAAAAAGACAGTTGTGTAATTGAGAAAAATATAGTAAACATGATTAGAGATGTTAACTTTCAGCTATTTATATAGGAGATCAAACAAGTTTCTCATTGTAGTAAGACCACCCCCACAGTAGGTCCCATAGTGATTAATTAACACTTGCATAATCATTTATTAATGTGTGAATAGTATTTCAATGATTACTATAAATGGGAAGAATGTCAGCTACAGTGTTCTGCTACACTAAAAACATCAGTTCTGTCTCAATTGGTTGCCTTAATCAAAAAAGGTTCATTGTCTAAATAGGCATACAACTTTGGGAATTTGTGGCATCAGCATATCATTATGGAATTATCAGCCTTCTTTTTTACTTTATGGGATATTTTTCTCTTAGTCTCCTTTCACTAATGACTAAATTAGGAGTATAGGTGAAGTAATGATTTGATTTATTCAAAGTTCCCAATTATTTAGAATCTGTCTTAAGATGTACCCATAAAAAAGTAACTGTTTAATTGTTTGAAGAGTACAATAGATTACTGTACTTAAAACTTGAGATATTCACTGTAAAAATATTTGAAATAAGCTGTTTTCAGAAATATTTATTTAAGAACTAGAAATTACAGTGATGCTTAGATGAAAAACTGAGACATACTTGCTTGTAGTTTGATACCGAAGAAATATATGACAATAACAAATGGAAACTTGAGATAAGACACATTAAAATGTGTGTTCAAATCTGAGAAAGTTAACAAAGTACAATGCTTTTGTATTGTTTTTTATCTACAGCTGAGTTGTCCAAAATATTATTATTTTATTAAGCTACCTTTCAAGTACTGTATCAGAAGATGTTGCTTCTCTTTTAGGAACACTTCATTGATGTTGTGAAGAACCAAGAATTCCTTCTGCTTCCAGCTAATGAAATTTCAAAACTTCTGTGTAGTGATGACATTAATGTGCCTGATGAAGAAACAATTTTCCATGCTCTTATGCAGTGGGTAGGTCATGATGCTCAAACTAGGCAGCGAGACCTGGGGAAGCTGCTTTCTTATATCAGACTGCCATTGCTTTCTCCACAGGTATGGAACTTAATCATGGTAAAGTATATTAGATTTCTACTTTGTAATGTAGCAATCCATTAATATTTGTCAGTTTTTTTTTCAAAAAAATATATAATGGTGTGTACAGAATGTACTCCATTGAAAAAGTGTATAATTAGAGGTATTAATAATGGAGAAAAAGAAATACAGCTTTAAAAGTAACCTACCGATTATCTCCAACATCATAATATCAGTTTCAGTTGCCTCCCTTACCATACTATAACAAGGGAGGAAAATGACTGGGTCTCCTTTCCAAGCACCACTCACCTTCTAAGCAAAGTCAGAATAATCAATATAGCAGCTTTATATAACTGGTTTTAGGAGGAGTCAGATCCTGGATAATACCTACAAACATGGGTAATTATTTCCTGTAATTGAAAGCCAGCATCTGTCCTTAAAGATGCAATCATTACAATGGAATTCTCATCATGTGTACTGAACTGAAGGATTATAGGAAAGATGATTCTAAAAATAAGTGTTATATTTTTCTTTTTTAAAATGTATTACAATTTATTTACTTTTTATCCCAGCTGTAGCTTTCTCCCTCATCCCATAGCAATCCTCCCTCCATCCCTCTTTTCCTCCCATACCCCTTTCCCAGTCCACTGATAGGGGAGGTCTTCCTCTTCTTCCATCTGATCCCAACCTATCAGGTCTCATTAGGACTATCTGCATAGTCTTCCTCTGTGGCCTGGTAAGGCTGCCTCCTCCCCTGCCATGAGGAGGTGATCAAAGAGCCAGCCACTGAGTTCATGTCAGAGACAGTCTCTGTTCCCCTTACTAGGAAATTCACGTAGAGACTGAGCTGCCATGGGTTACATCTGTGCAGGGTTTTTAGATTATCTCCATGCATGGTCGTTTGTTGGAGTATCAGTCTCAAAACAGACTCCTGAGCCCAGATTTCTTAATTCTGTTGCTCTCCTTGTGGAGCTCAAGTCTCCTCCAGGTCTTTCTAGTTCCTCTTTCTTTCATAAGATTCCCTGCACTCTGCCGAAAGTTTATCTATGAGGCTCAGCATCTACTTTGATTCCCTGCTGGATAGAGTCTTTCAGAGGCCCTCTGTGGTTAGGCTTCTGTCTTTTTCCTTGTTTTCATCCTCTTCCAATATCTATCCCATTTGTTTTTCTGAATAAGACTTGAGCATCTTACCCAGGGTCTTCCTTCTTGCTTAGCTTCTTTAGGTGTACAGATTTAGCATGATTATCCTATATTATATGTCTAATATCAACTTATAACTGAGTATATAAGATGTGTGTCTTTCTGCTTCTGGGATATGTCACTCAGGATGACCTTTTCTAGATCCCACCATTTGCCTGCAAATTTCATGATTTCTCTGTTTTTAATTGTTGAGTAGTAGTCCATTGTGTAATTTTACCACAATTTTTTTTTTATCTATTCTCCAGTTGAGGAACATCTCATTTGTTTCCACATTCTGACTGTTACGAATACAGCAACTATGAACATTGCTGAACAAATGTTCTTGTTGTATACTTTAGCATCTTTTGGATATAAGCCTAGGAGTGGGATAGCTGGATCTTGAGGTAGCAATATTCCTAATGGTCTGAGAAAGTGCTAAATTAATTTACAAAGTAGTTGTACAATTTTGCATTCCCATCAGCAATGGAGTAAGGTTCTCCTTTTTCCACATCCTCTCCAGCATGTGTTGTCACTTGAGTTTTGCTCTTAACCATTCTGATGGATTTAAGGTGAAATCTCAGGAATATTTTGAATTCCATTTCTCTGATGACTAAGGATGTTGAGCATTTCTTTAAGCATTTCTCTGCCACTGGATATTCCTCTATTGAGAATTCTCAGTTTCTCTTTGTACTCCATTTTTTAAATTGGATTACTTTATTTGTTGCTGTTTAGCTTCTTGAATTCTTTATGTATTCTAGATATTAGCCCTCTGTCAGATATAGGGTTGGTGAAGAGCCTTTCCCAATCTGTAGGCTGTTGTTTTGTTCTGACGACAGTGTCCCTTCTTTGCTTTATAGTAGATTTTCAATTTCATGATGTCTCATTTATTGATTGTTGATCTTAGAGCCTGTGCTGTTGGTGTTCAGTTCAGGAAGTTGTCTCTTGTGCCAATGAATTCAAGGCTCTTCAAGGATCTAGTTGCATTTTTCTACATGTAGATATCCGGTTAGACCATCACCATTAATTTTTTACTGTTGTATATTTTTGGCATCTTTGTCAAAAGTCAGGTGTCATAAGTGTGTGGGTTTATTTCTGGCTTTCCCACCCAACTCAATTGATCCACCAGCTGGTTTCTATGCCAGTACCATGGAGATTTTATTACTGTTGCTCTGTAGTACAGCTTAAGCTCAGGGAGGAAAATGCCTCCAGAAGATATTTTATTGTATAGGATTGTTTTAGCAATTCTGGTTTTCTTGTTATTCCATACAAAATTGAGATTTTTTTCTTTCACCCTCTGTAAAGAATTGTGTTGGTAGTTTGATGGGAATTGCATTGATTCAGTAGATTGCTTTTGGTAAGATGTCCAGTTGTAATATGCTAATCTTGCCAAGACATGAGCACTGGAGATCTTTCCATCTTCTGATATCTTCTTTTATTCTTCCTTCAAAGATTGGAAACTTTTTCATACAAGTCTTTGACTTGCTTGGAAATTTACATGGAGTTACTTTATATACTTTGTGTCTATTGTATTGTGAAGGTTGTTGTTTCCTTAATTACTTTCTCGGCCTTATTGTCTTTTGAATACAGGAGGGCTGCTGATTATTTTGAGTTGATTTTGTATCCAACCACTTTCCTGAATGTGTTTATCATGTGTAGGTGTTCCCTGGTAGAATATTTGAGGTCACTCATGTATACAATCATATGTTCTGTGAATAGTGATACTTTGACTTCTTCCTTTCCAATTTGTATCCCCTTGATCTCCTTCAGTTGTCTTATTGCTCTAGCAAGGACTTTGAGTAGTATGTTTAAGAGATAGAGAGAGAGTGGGCTGCCTTGCCTTGTCCCTGATTTCAGTGGGGTTGATTTCAGTTTCTCTCCATTTAGTTTGATGATGACTATAGGCTTGCTGTATATTGCGTTTACTATGTTTAGTTAAGTGCCTTGTATCCCTGATTTCTGCAGGACTTTATACAAAAACAAATGTTGGATTGTATCAAACGCTTTTCCAGCATCTAAAGAGATTATCATGTGTTTTTTTTCTTTCAGTTTGTTTATATGGTGATTACATTGATGTATTTCCATGTATTATGCCACCCCTGCATACCTAGAATGAAGTCTACTTGGGCATAGTGGATGATATATTTGATGTGTTTTTTGATTCGGTTTGCGAGTATATTGTTGAGCATTTTTTTCCATCAATGTTCATAAGAGAGATTGGCCTGAAATTCTCCTTTTTTGTTGATCTTTGTGAGGATTAGATATCAAGGGAACCGTGGATTCATAGAATGGCGTATGGTAATGTTGCTTCTGTTTCTATTTTGTGGAATAGTTTGAAGAGTATTGGTGTTAGCTCTTCTTTGAAGAAGACGGTAGAATTCTCCACAAAAATCATATGGAAGTGAGCTTTTTACACGGAGAATTTTTATGAAAGCTTCTATTTCCTTAGGGGATATAGGACTATTTAATTTGTTTACCTGGTCTTGATTCAAGTTTGGTAAGTAGAATCGATCAAGAAAATTGTCCATTTCATTTAGATTTTCAAATTTTGAAGCATATAGACTTTTGAATTAAGACCTAATGATTGGATTTCCTCAGTGTCTCTTGTTATGGCACATTTACATTTCTGATTTTGTTGATTTGGATAGTGTCTCTCTGCCTTTTATTTAGTTTTGCTAAGGGTTGTCTATCTTGTTGATTTTCTCAAAGAACCAGCTCTTGGTTTCATGGATTTTTGAACTGTCTTATTTGTTTCTAATTTATTTATTTCAGCCCTGAGTATGATTATTTCCAGCCATCTAGCCCTCTTGGTAATGTCTGCTCTTCTTCTACTTTTTTTCTCTTGGGTCTTCTAGGTGAGCCATTAAGTTGAATGAAAGGTTCTGTAGATGTCTGTTAGAGCCATTTGATTCATGACCTCTGTTATAGTCATTGCTCAGTTCCATGAGGTGCTGAGAAAAGGGTAAATTCTTTTGTGTTTTGGCGAAAGGTTCTGTATATGTCTGTTAGAGCCATTTGATTCATGACCTCTGTTAGAGTCATTGTTTCTTTGTTTAATTTCCATTTTGTATACCTGTCTTTCATTGAGAGTGTGGTGTGGGGATCTGTGTGTGGTTTTAGTTTTGTTAATGTTTCTTTTAAAAATATGGGTGCCCTTGTATTTGAGACATAGTTGTTCAAAATTGTGATATCTTTTTGGTGGAATTTTCCCTTGATGAGTATGAAGTGACCTTCACCATCTCTTTTGATTAATTTTGGTTGAAAGTCTATTTTATTAGATGTTACAATGGCTACTCCTGCTTACTCCTTGGGTCCACTTGCTTGGAAAACTGTCTACCTGCCTTTTACTCTCAGGTAATGTCTATCTTTGTGACTTAGATGAATTTCTTCTATGTAATGGATTGCTGGATCTTGTTCAAGCATCCATTCTGTTAGTCTGCATCTTTTTATTGGAGAGTTGAGTCCATTGATGTTGAGGAAGTTTAATAATCAGTAGCTGTTAGATCCTTTGATTTTTGTTGTTGGCTGTGGTAGTGTGTCTGTGTGCTTGGCTCCTCTTTGATTTTCTGTATTGAGGTTATTTATTTCCTGTGTTTTCCTGAATGCACTTAGCTTTCTTGGGTTAACTTTTTCCTCCTAGTATCTTCTGTAACATTGGATTAGTGTGTCGGTATTGTTTAAATTTGTTTTTGTCATTGAATATCTTGTTTTCTCCATCTATGATGACTGAGTATTTTGCTGGTTATAGTAGCCTGAGCTGACATCTGTGTTCTCTTAGAGTCTGCATGATATCCTTCCAGGCCCTTCTGGCTTTCATAGTCTCTGTTGAGAAGTCAGGTATGATTCTGATGGGTTTGATATTACATATTATTTGGTCTTTTTCCCTTTGAGCTTTTAGTATTTTTTCTTTGTTCTGTATACTTAGAGTTTTTATTATTATGTGGCAGGAGGATTTTCTTTTCTGGTCTAATTCATGAGGTTTTCTGTAGGCCTTTTGTATGCTTATAAGCCTCTCCTTTAGGTTGGGGAAATTTCTTCTATGATTTTGTTGAAAATAATTTCTGAGCCTTGGAGATGGAAATATTTTCTCTTTATTTCTATTACTCTTAGGTTTTGTCTTTTCATGTTGTCTTGGCTTTCTTGAATGTTATGTTTCAGGAATGTTTTAGATTTAACATTTTTTGAGATATACATTGATGTCTTCAATTGTATCTTCTACACCTGAGATTCTTTTTTCTATCTCTTGAAGTCTATTGGTTTTGCTTACCTCTGTAGTTCCTGAGTTCTTCCCTAAGTTCTTCCTCTTTGTGATATCCTCTGTTTGTGTTTTCTTTAATTTTTTCCAATTCTGTCTTCAGATCTTGAAACCTTTTGTTGATTTCCTTTACCTATCTGACTGTACTGTCCTATTTTTCCTTCAGTCCCTCCACTTGTTTGTTTAAATAGTCCATTTTTCTTTTAGTTCTTTCATTGATTTAATTATTTTCTCTCTGAAAGCCACAAACTGTTTGGTTTCATTATCCTGTGCTTCTTACAAATGGCCATAATCTGTTTGATTTTTTTCTTCCTCTATTTCTTTACACATTTTATTTGTTTCCTCCATTATTCTCTTCATAAGCATAGATATAAAGTGATCTTCTTGAATTTCATTTATGAAAGGGTGTCCAGGGCAACTTTTTCCTCTATAACTGGGTTCTGGAGATGCCATATTGCTCTTGCTTTTGTTGGTTTTGCTTCTATACTGGATGCCCATCAACAGATGACTAGATAATAGGAAATGATCTTTCATTAAGCATGGTATTGTCTGTCAACTTTTTGGAATCTAAGTTATTATTCCTACACAGACCAACCAAATCACTGTCTAACATCTGGTTTACTAATATATGTCTTAATCTGTGCATCAGATATTTTAGGTATGCAAATACCTAAGAACCCTGTCTATCTGAAGCTATTGAAACTTAAGTTCTTTATGTATATTTTCTATTTTCCAGCATTTTTATATTTTTTGTCTTTTTGTTGATGGACATCTAGTTTTATTCCATATCTGAGATTTGTGGATGGTGTTGCAATAATCATGGTGGGGGCAGGGAATTCTCAGTTTGCATTCTTTGTACATATTCCTAGGATGGTATAGCTCAGTTGTAAATTCATTCTCTATTCTAGATTTTATAAAATTCACTGCATTAGAAGAAAGAATATGATCTGCTCAAACATATAACTCTAATTCTCTCAACTCTAACAATGCTTTATGCCTAAAATATGTTTAAGTGAAAATTTCCTGAAGTAATGACATGCACATGTAGTTTTCCAGATAAGTCGATATGTTCTACAAAACACAGAAATAAAATACATGAAGATGAGAAGTCTATAAGTGTTTTTTTTAAAAGATTTGTATCTTAGTTTTTTAAATTTAATTTTATTTTATTAATTATAGTTTATCACTTGTATCCCAGCTGTAGCCCCGTATCCCCCAAATCCCATTCTCCCTCCTTCTTTTTCTCCTATACCCCTTCCTCTGTCCAATGATAGGGGAGGTCCTACTTCCCTTCAAACTGACCCTAGCCTATCAGGTCTCATCAGAACTGGCTTCATTGTTGTCCTCTGTGGATTGATAAAGCTGTTTCTCCAACAAGTGGAGGTGATCAAAGAGTCAGCCTCTTAGTTCATGTCAGAGACAGTCCCTGTTCCCATTACTAGTGAAACCTCTTGGACACTGAGTGCCCATGGACTACATCTGTGCAGGGGTTCTAGGTTATCTCCATGCATGTTCCTTGTTTGTAGTATTAGTATCACAAAAGACCTCTGTGCCCAGATTTTCTGGTTCTGTTGCTCTCCTTGTGGAACTCCTGTCCCCTCCAGGACTTTCTATCTCCTGCTTTTTTCATAAGATTCCCTACACTCTGCCCAAAGATTGGATCTGAGTCTCAGCGTATGTTTTGATATGCTGCTAGGTAGAGTCCTTCAGAGGCCCTCTGTGGTAGGCTCCTCTCCTGTTTCCTGTTTTCTACCTCTTCTGATACCCATTCCATTTGCCTTTCTGAATGAAGATTGAGCATCTTTCCCAGGGTCCTCCCTCTTGATTAGCTTCTTTAGGTATACTGATTTTATTATGATTTTCCTATATTATATATCTAGAATCCACTTATAAGTGTGTGTCTTTCTGCTCCTGGGATTTTTCACTCAGGATGATCTTTTCTAGATCTCACTATTCCTTCTTTTTAAATGCTAAGTAGTAGGCCATTGTGTAAATGTACCACAATTTCTGTATCCATTCCTCAACTAAGGGACATCTGAGTTGTTTTCAGCTTCTAGCTATTAAAAATAAGGCTGCTACAAACATGGTTGAGCAAATATCCTTGTTGTATACTTGAGCATTTATATATATATATATGCTTACAAATGGTATAACTGGATCTTGATGTAGCACTATTCCTAATCATCTGAGAAAGCACCAGATTGATTTCCAAAGTGGTTTTCATGTTTACATTCCCACCAGCAATGGAGGAGGGTTCCCCTTTCTTCACATCCTCTCCAGCATGTATTTTCACTTGAGTTTTTGATCTTAGCCATTCTGATGGGTGTAAGGTGAAATATCACAGTCGTTTCAATTCTCATTACCCTAATGACTAATGATGTTGAGCATTTCTTTAAGTGCTTTTTCTGCCATTTGATATTCTTCTATTGAGTATTCTCTATTTAGCTCTGTAACTCATTTTTAATTGGATTCCTTGATTTGTTGGTTTTTATCTTCTTAAGTTCTTTATATATTCTGGATATTAGCCCTCTGTCAGATATAGGGTTGGTGAAGATCCTTTCCCAATCTGTAGGCTGTCGTTTTGTTCTGATGACAGTGTCCTTTGCTTTAAGGAAACTTTTTAGTTTTATGAGGTCCTATTTATTTATTGTTGATCTTAGAGTCTGTGCTGTTGGTGTTCTGTTCAGGAAGTTGTTTCCTGTGCCAATGAGCTCAAGGCTCTTTCCCAATTCTTCTACTAATAGATTTACTGTGTCTGGTTTTATGTTGAGGTCTTTAATCAACTTAGACATTAGTTTTGTGCAGAGTAATAAATATGGATTTATTTGCATTTTTCTACATGTAGACATCCAGTTAGACCAGCAACTTTTTTCAAGATGCTATCTATTTTCTATTTTATGGTTTTAGCATCTTTGTCAAAAGTCAGGTGTCCATAAGTTGTGAGTTTATTTCTGGGTCTTCTATTCGATTCCATTGATCTACCATTTTGTTTCTATTCCAGTATCATGCAATTTTTATTACTGTTGCTTTATGCTACAGTTTGAGATTAGGGATAGAGATACCTCCAGAAAATCTTTTATTGTAGAGGACAGTTTTATCTTTTTTAAATTTTTCTATATCAATTGGAGAATTTTTCTTTCAAGTCTGTAAAGAATTTTATTGGTAATTTGAAGAGAATTGTATTGAATCTGTAGATTGCTTTTGGTAAGATGGTCATTTTTACTCTGTTAATCCTGCCAAGCCATGAGCATGGGAAATCTTTCTATCTTCTGATATCTTCTTTTTTTCTTTCTATAGAGACTGTAAGTAGTCTTTAAACCTATTTCATATACGATGTTAAAGAAATACCTACAATTTTATCAGGCAACCAAGATAGTAATTTAATTTACTAGAGATTACAATTTGCAAAAAACAAAACCAAACACAAAACAGAATTGAATTTAACCAGAAAAAGAAATTATATGAGATGAGATTAATTTTGCTCCAGCAAATATAGTTTCTTTATCTTTTGGTGTACTATTATATCACAGTTCCAAAACAAATGAATAGAGTTTAATACATGTCAACATTATGAAATCTGTACATGTGTTTTCTCCAGTTCATCGTGAGAGCACTATTTTACTTATATTTCATCAATGTTATTAAGGATATGTATTGTGTCAGGTAATGATAGGATCTATCACCCACTTCTGCTAGTCTTGATTGGTTATCATGTATTCTAATTCACTTTAAAAAAACATATGCTTTCAAAATAATGCTCTCATGTAATGATAAATATACATTACCATTGAAATGGATAATATCTTAACAGAGCATGTTTCTGTGACATCTATTATAGCCCAAATACACAAAAATATGAACTTATTGCACTCATCACATGCAGTAGATAAAGCTACTCAACGTTTTTGACCACAGAAATTCTTTTTTTATTGCTTTTGGTAACTCGTTTTATATTTGTCATTTTTCATATGTAGGCTTTCACATGATAGAAAAAAAACATAGTCTTTCTGATGTTGGACTCCTGATATATGTGCCATGCACCATTACTTTCCAGTTACTCGCAGATCTGGAAAACAGTTCAATGTTTACTGATGATCTGGAGTGTCAGAAGCTACTAATGGAAGCTATGAAGTATCATCTTCTGCCTGAGCGAAGATCCATGTTGCAAAGCCCTCGTACAAAGCCTAGAAAATCGACTGTGGGGGCTCTTTATGCAGTGGGAGGTATGGATGCTGCTAAAGGTAAAAGCAACACATTAATTAATTGGGAAAATAGCTCTATTTTAAAAAGAAGAGACATTTCTAACAGTTTCCACGTTATGAAGATGCTATTAAATCTTTGTTAAGTAAGTGTATCTGAAGCTGGTTTCCATAAATAGGGTAATTTTTTGTGACCTCACTCCTTCCTATAGACCAAAATCCTTTATTTATGAGTGTCTTCACTCTGAATGGGGATTTTACTTTATGGACACAATTCTAGTTCTAAACATTCATTTTTCCTCATCAAATCTTTTCAGTGACATTTATCTATCTGTCTGCCTATCTATCTATCTATATCTATCTCTATCTATTTATCTATCTATCTATCTATCTATCTATCTATCTATCTATCTATCTATC